CCCCCCCCCCCCCCCCCCCCCCCCCCCCCCCCCCCCCCCCCCCCCCCCCCCCCCCCCCCCCCCCCCCCCCCCCCCAAGATTTCAATAATTCTTACAAAATGAAGAATTCATTAGAATAGTTGCTTTTTTTTAAATGAGTACCATCGATAAAAGAAGCCAGTTGTTTCTCGAATGTTTGATTAGTTTTCTCTTGAGCAACTTCAATGTTCGAAAGTTCATCAATGATCATATCGTGCATTTGCTACAATATAAAAGTACAAGTTTTTGCTGGGTTCCAACATAAAAACTTTTGATTTTTGAATATTAAATTATATTCATTACTAACTAAATATTTCGACTCTTCAGATCCCAATTTCTTTATAATTGCAATTTTTTCTTCTTCGAATTCTTCAAACTTGCGCTTGTAATCATCAATTTTATCCTCACTTTTTTTAAAAAAATACATAACTGCTTTGTAAATTAATAATCACATGCAATTCTTGACAACTTACATTTCTTTCTTTTGACGTATAATCAGTTCATTGGCTAATTGTGACACGTGTTGAATGGTTTTGTCACATTCAGCTGATAAATTTTTTTGTTTATTTTTGGTCTTTTTTTCCATACGATCTAGGTGAGAAATAATTTAATTCTTTTTAAAGAATGGGATGAATATCGATATCTTTAAATATGACTTACCGTGAAAAGCTGTGAAGATTTTAAGCAAATCTTCCCTATATAAATGAATAAGATTTTTTTGAATTAAATAGAAAGGATGAATTTTTTGTAGTATCACCTACCCATCATTATCATTGTTGGAATCATCATCGTTTGGAAACTTTTTAGACGTTCTTTGCGTACTTTTTCGACCTGGATACCTTTTTGCCATGTTCCAATTACTCGTTAAAAAAAAATGGAACAAAAAAAAAAGAACGTAGGAAATTTAAGACTAGTTGAGATATTATATATATTATATTACAAAATAAAGTAAGTTTAAATTTTATCGGTCGAATATGATTGGTTGTTATGTTCGCATCAATGATTGGTTACTGAAATAAAAAAAAAAAACACGTATGATCTACAATATATCTGATATTAGGTCAACTGTATTTATCACGTGCGACTTATTTAATCGGAGTTTGATTAAATAACCTGATTTTGATACGAAAAAATTATTATCGTTTAAATCAACAACTATATTAATATATATTAACATTAATGTAAAAAATCGTAAAGAATAATGTGAGCGTATTTTATTATTATTAACACAATTCGAATGTTTTATAATAAATTGTTGTCAGGCTTTCAATTTTTACTTGACAATATAAAATTAAATTCGTATTTTTATTTTAAAAACTATCATAAAATGTTTGTGCACTATTTATTAAATATCTACTAATAATTATAATTTAAAAAATCGCTCTAATTAAATTACTAAGCTATCAGATAAATTTTAGTTAAAAAACAATGTAGTACATAAAGATTTTTCGAAAGTTATATTATTTATTTAACCACCAAAATTATTAATTCAAATCTTATTAAAATAAGCTTAATATCTTAAATAAAATCTGTCTTTAATACTATATATATATTTATTTATTTAATCCAATTGTTCCTGTTCTAACTCGCCTGATGATACTGTAACTATATTCTTTGCTGATTGACCAACATTCTGATCAGGGACAAAGAAATCGGATAATTTTAAAGGTGGAATGTCCATTTTCTATATAAAATGATGAAAATATTTAATAATAATTTAAGAGAGAAATATTAAATATTTCAGAGAAGTGTGATGATACTGTACCTCGGGATCAATATTTGTCAAATCGCCTTCTGGCGTGGAATGTTCACGCATATATTTTCGTATCGGTCTCATTGCTGCATTTCGACAAGCTTCCTTTAAATCACTGCCTTCAAACAATAAATATAAAAATAAATCGACATCTTTAAAAAAAAATTTAAAATATAGGTCATAAAGTTACCTGAGAAATTGATGGTTTTCGTGACTAAATCGTCATAATTGAAATTCTCTTCCAAATTTTGATCTTTAAGCATCTAATTATTACAATAAATAACTCTTAATAACATATATAAATTTCTTTTTTAATAAAATGAAATGTTCTTACAATCTCTAAAATGTTTTTCCTCTGCTCTTCGTTAGGTAAACTAATAGCAAATCGTTTTGGCATACGACGAAGAATAGCATAATCTGTTATTCACGTTAAAAGATTTCAGCAAATCTGAAGGGATTTTTTTTTTTTTAAAAAAAAAAGTTATTGTACGAATTTAAAGCGAATCACTTACCGATATCATTAGGTCTATTTGTAGCACCAAGGACCTGAATAAACCAAATCATAAATTAATTCATTTTTTTTTTTTAAAAAAAATTATTATAAGATTTCTTACGATTATGCGTGTATTATCATCCGTAGTCAAACCATCCCATAAACTGTTTAATTAATTAAGAAAACATGTTTTAGCAGACAATAGATAATTAACTTTTTTATAATAAAGATTATTCACCTCATAAACTCGGCTTTCATCATTCCAGTAACCTCATGATCATTGCTTCGTCTTTCTCTTAAAAATGCATCAATTTCATCGATAAAAATAATACAAGGCTGTAATTTTTTTGCAACAGAAAAAACAGCAGAAACAAGTTTATTTGATTCACCAAACCATTTATCTGTTAACGTTGATACATGAAGGTTTATAAAAGTGGCTCCGGATTCCCGTGCAAGAGCTTTTGCAAGCATGGTTTTTCCGCATCCAGGTGGACCATGGAGTAAAACTCCTTTAGGAACACCCAATAATCCAGAAGTTGAAGTGAACAGTTTTGGGTAAGTTAAAGGATATATAACCGATTCTCGAAGAGATTGGATGATTAGATCAAGACCTATATTCAAATCACATTAATCTATGATCGATCACGTAAAAGAAATTGATGATTTCAACATACTCACCTCCAATTTCTGAATATTCCATCAATTGAAAAAAAAAAATTAATATGAAATTTTTTTTAAATACATTATGATAAAACACGAAAAGAAGATAGTTACGTTTGAAACTAACAGAAATCTCATCCGGAAAAATTACTTCAGACAAGATCACTTCTTCGTATTCATTTAATTTTGTATTCTTCATCTGTTAACGATTAATCAAAATCAATAGATAAATAAATTTAATAATCATTATAATACAATAAATAATAATAACTTACAATAACTTACCCCTAATTTCCCTAACACCTGTTCACTTTTTGCTTTGGCTTCTTTCTTTTTATCCTTCATAGGATCTAAGCTACTAAGCACGTACTTTACAGCATAATAAAGTGCCACCTGAGATAATGCGAAAACCATAACTACGAATTTAAAATAAGAATTATTGAAGATCGAGATCTAACTAGAGAATTCGGTTGTAATTACCATCAAGAACATATTTTTTCGCGTTTGGTGAAGGCATTTCGAAAACAATTGACGTTAAATAAATATACCAATGATCAACTAAATGAAAATATAATTCGAATATTATAAAATGGCGAAAATAAGAAAAAAAAAATGCGGTTAAATGTTTAGTACCTTGTCACGTGTGAGTTCAATGTACAAATATAATAGATTGTTCCTTCTTAAATAAGTAATATATACAGTACATACTTCTCATATTACTGATCGTGATCGCCAAATGTTCTACTACAAAGAATTGTTTCGAATAAAAGGCAGAATGGAGAATACCAAATATTTAATCGAAAATATTGATGCACTATTGCATTTTTTATTTTTCTGTCTTTAATTTCCGGTGCTATAGGTTCGATATTACAATCTCTGAGATGTTCTCTTTGCGAAAAAAATAATTTTTTTACATGATTTGTAGTGATATAAATAGTCGTATATATGGTGTCTGGTATTTATAGATTGTTAGCAATAGACATATAAACAAACAAGTCGTAGAAATTTACCATAATATGAGAGCAAAGAAATAACTTGATACTGGGACTCGCATTAAGTGGCCTAGGATTCGCGTACCCCCCTTCTTTGATAGCATCATACACTTTATTCACTATCTCCACATCTTTACTGAAAAATAATAAAGCTCATTGGGTTTATTTATGGGTGTAAAGGTGCATCGAAAAAATAAATCAAGACAATTTTCTCATATGTATGTAAGACAATGTCCACATTTTTCTGGGTAAAAGTAGTCGATGTGAACGATTGTTCACGCCCATATGAATTTTTATCTACCTTTTTTGTAAACTTTTAAATTTTCAAAAAAAAATATTATCAATCATGCAATCCAATGATTCGTTGAGAGGAATCTCATATTTAGCTTTATTCTTATTAATAATATATTTGCTCAAACACTTTCTGATCGAAATAAAAGTGTATTAATAAAGAAAGTATTTCTGTTTTCCAATCAGATTTATCTTTTAATAAATGAATCAGCGAATCAAAGTCACACTTTATTATTGCAATAGATATGTAAAAAATCTTTTTAAAGATTATATAATATAAATCTACAAGTACTTGATTATTAATTATTATCTACGGTTGCTTATTACAACGACTTGATAGATTCTATATAAATCGATGATGAAATTATCAGCTGTAACTTCAACGACATTTGTCAACGATGGGTGGGTCCAAAAAGACATCAGATATTGGAATTGTTATTTTTAAGCTCCGAAATGCTTAATCACAGGAAATACTAATAACGGATCAATCTTACTTCTAAAATAGATACTCCTGCTAAATTTGGATTTGCTGATGGTCTACTTCTTGCTGGTGCTGGGTCCATAACTTGAGCAAATATATAAAAGAAAATATTAGAAACTATAAATGAAGCAGATAACGTCATAGACCGATAATTCTTTTTATCGTATTTAACTCGTACCGCACGTAATGTTAAAGCATCCAATTTTCGCATTTATTGATAAAACGGGTGGTGGTTTCTTGATGAGATATGGCTAATTCGACAATGATTCGTACATGTGGGTTTCCTATATAGTATGTTTCGAAATTACATTATTATGAAAACATGGCCATATTGATATAATTACTTCTCGTTCATTATAGATAACCCGAACAAAGCCTTAGACGACGTAAAAACTCCAATGATATTTTAATCTATAGAAATCAAATCCGTCACCTATTAGATAATGAAGGGAAAAAAAAGTTAGAGGAAAGTACTAAGAATATATGGGACAGGAAAGG